GTCGATGGGTTTGAGTCCCATCCCTACATTGAGCATGGTTGCGCCATTCGCAATCCGTGTCCCTTCTGCAGGGCCAAGGGTCACTTTCCCGCAAAGCATGACCCAATTTCTGAACGACCCGGCCAACTTACAAGCTATCTAGGGCTTTGGCTAGGTCATGGCCATGTGTCAACAAAATGGAGGAGTGCCATTCCTCCCAGGCATGTTCCCCTTTCCTTTACCAGGCAGTAGAACAATGCCATTGCAAGCCCCGATGGTGGTGTCTCCCTTCGAGACACCGGTTCCACAGCCATCACCTTTCCAGCCGAAAGTGGTCAATGTTATGGCCCCTATCAACCTGACCGGTGCACTCAACGTCGCTGGTCCATCACACCCTCTGTAGAGTGCTCGCCACTCGCAGAGCACTCCAGACGGTCATTGCGTCTCTGTTGAGAGTGATGACGGTGAGTGGGACATTCCGAGAGCCCACAAGAAGAAGAAGGGTAAGACCCTAAGACCGGAAACTTCCCGTGACTCCTCCTTCGAAAGGCTGGGGGATAGGGAGGACGGTCAAAGGAAATCAGTCAGGCTGAGATTGGGGCAGAGTGTGGCCCATGTCAGCGCCTTTGCCCAGTTATGCGAGGGGAGGGAGGCCAAGCCTACCCGTATCCAGCGCACTCAGTCAAAACGGCCCAAACTCGTGAAATCGATGGTTTCACGCCAGGAAGAAGAAGCTGAGAGCCAGCCCTGTGAGCCGATGAGAAATCGGTTGACTATCCCGAGAGATCGCGTCCAACAGATGGAGGTGAAGCTGGAAAGGCTAGAGAAGAAAGTGGGGGAGAAGAATGACCAGGAAAAACCCCTAGCTGGTTCCCCATTCACTACAAGGGTCCACTTGACACCATTTGCGTGGAAGGTCAAGGTGGATGCACCAAGGTTCACCGAGAAGGAGGATCCTTAAATTCACTTGGACTCCTTCAATCAAAGTGCGACAATGAATGGGTGCACGGATGAAGAAAAGTGCCTCTTTTTCTTCCAAACCTTGCGAAATCGGGCCACGGAATGGTTCAATAAACTCCGTCCAGGGAGCATTGACTCATTCACAGAACTGGCCTCCAAATTCAATGCCAAATTCCAAGAAAACTGTACAAAGAAGAAAAAGTTCACCAACTTAAGAATAGCCGGTCAGAGGGAATCTGAGAACCTCACTCAGTTCCTTACCCGGTGGAAGGAGGAGGTGGACAAAGTCGAGGAAATGGACGATAAGACAGTCTTGTCTCTCGTGTTGAACGGGCTGCGAGCAGGGGAACTATACAAAGAGTTCTTTCGGAAACCCCCCGCCACATATCAAGAGACCTACCACACAATGTGGAAATTCGCTGAGGCTGAGACCTAGCTTCGGGCAAAGAAAGAAGATGAGCACAGTTTCAAACCCAAGCTGGTGCAAATCAAGAAGGAAGATGCACCGGGACCAGCAAGACAAGGCATCATTATGACCCGGTCATTTGAGTGGTCAATACGGAAGAGTGCCAGGAAGTTAGGAAGGCACCGGCCAATCCTACCGGTAACCTAGGACGTGAGTGGTCGGACACGTATTGTTCGTACCATAAATCTGATTCCCATAACACTTCAGAATGTAAAAGTGTTAAAGGAGTCATCCGGTAGATGATCTATAGTGGAGAACTAGGCAAGGAGTATTTGCAAAAGGCCTAGGAAAAGAACCACTAGTGGGTAAGGCCGGAAGCCCAAGGAAATGACGGGGACAGTGATCGGCGGAAGAATGATTGGCGAAGAGACCGAAGGCCAGCTCCAGACAAGGAGCACATTGGGATGATCTTTGGAGGACCGGAGGGTGGAGATTCAGCTGCGCAACGGAAGAGCTTGATCCGGAGCAGGGAGAGGTTAGTGCAGACCCGATCAGGCGGAAATAGACAAGGAGGGAACCAATTGTCTTCATCGACCGGGACCTTCCAATCTCCGGCGATGACCATAATGATCCTTTGGTCATCACCATGGACATCAACAGGGTTGGTGTCGCCCGGGTATTAGTTGCACAGGCAGCAGTTTCAACATATTATATTTGGAAACTTTTCAAAAACTCAGGTTGTGTCGGACACAACTTGAACCTCTGAAAACTCCTCTCTCAAGCTTCACATGTGACACCGTGGAAGCTAAAGGATCGATCGTCCTATCGATCGAACTAGGATCTGGGGATAAAACCGTATGGAAAAAGATGCGGTTTATTGTTGTGGATATTAAATGTGTCCACAACGCAATTCTGGGAAGACCAGGCATCAAGAAAGTTCGGGTTGTGATCTCTATGCCCCACCTCTTCATGAAGTTCCACACACCGGGTGGTGTGGGCAAAGTACGGGAGATCAAAGAAATGCTCGGGAGTGTTATGCCCGGGCAGTAAAGAAGATGACAAAGGGGGGCCAACGTCATCTCCCAAGAAATTGCATAGGGGAAACCCAGGAGAAAATTGAACTCGAGGCTGAAACGGTGGAGATGGAACTCCACCCAGGTGATCTCTCAAGGACGGTCAGAATTGGAGCGAACCTACTAGAAGACCTACGGGAAGAGATTACCCGGTAACTTAGGGAATATGCAGGCATATTCCCTTGGAGCGTGGCGGATATGCCTGGGATTGATTTCTTCGTCATCTACCACCGGCTGGCAGTGAGAGAAGGATCTCGACCGGTAAGCCAGAAGAAAAGGTACCTTGCGAGTGACCGTCGAGATTTTGTCCGGAAGGAGGTGAAGGATCTCCTCAGCGTTGGTCACATCAGGGAAGTTAAATATTCCGATTGGTTGGCCAATATAGTTCTCGCTCCCAAGGGTGACACATGAAGGATGTGTGTGGATTACACGGGCTTGAACAAAGCATGTCCAATGGATTTATACACTCTGCCCAGTCCATATCAAATGGTGGATGAAATTGCCGGGTGTGAGCTCCTAAGTTTCATGGATGCTTTCAAAGGCTACCACCAAATTTACATGGCAAAGGAGGACGAGGAAAAGACATCATTCCTCACACCCGAAGGTACCTACTGTTACCAAATAGTGGCGTTCGTCTTGCAGAACTTAGTAGCCACTTACCAGCGCATGCTAAAAAAGCTCTTCAAGCCTTTGCTTGGGAAGACCATGGGAGCTTACGTGGATGACATGCTAATCAAGAACCAGGTAACTCTCAACCACCCGGCTGATATGCGAAAGTCCTCCGAGATCATGGCAAGGTACAACCTACAGTTGAACCCCAAGAAATTTGTCTTCGCGGTTCGTACCGGGAAGTTCTTGGGATTCATGGTGCCCAGGAGGGGAATAGAGTCCAACCCGGTCAGGGACGTGCAAAAACTTACCAGGCGCCTGGCGGCCCTCAGCCGATTTCTCTCTCCCGGTCAGCGGAGAGGTCCCTGCCTTTTTTCAAAGTCCTGAAGAAGGCCAATGCATTCACATGGGACGAAGATCGATTCTCAGAAGGCATTTGAAGAACTGAAGGAATACCTAGTGTCAGACATTGTATTGTCAAAACCTGAACCAGGTGAAACATTATATCTGTGTCTAGGGATTTCCCCAAATGCTGTAAGTTTCGTTTATATAAGAGATGATGGGGAACAAAAGCCCATTTAAAATATGAGCAAGGCACTAAATGGAGCAAAAAGTAGATACACGGCAATGGAAAAGACAGCACTGGGTTGAAGTCTTGACCGACCAACTGGTTTAACTTCATTTCTGCCAAGAAGTTAACATCATACTTTCAAGCTCACCCAGTTGAAGTCTTGACCGACCAACCACTGGGTGCAGTGTTGCAAATTTAACATCCTCTAGGAGGATGGTGAAATGGGCAATGATGTTAACTCAATTTAACATTGAGTACCGGCCAAGATCAGCAATCAACGAACAAGACCTTGCAGATTTCCTAGTGGAAATGACCGGCGTAACTCCTGACTTACCGGTCAATCAACCTACAGAACAATGGTGGGAGATGGCCGTGGATGTGGCATCTGGCCCTAAAGGGTATGGAGGCGGCGTAGTGTTTACCACCCTAGAAGGGTTAAAGATTTACCACGAACTTGTCTTTAACTTCAACTTGATGAACAATGAAGCAGAATATGACGCTCTTGCCAGAGGACTTCGATTTGCTCAAGCCCTAAAAATCAACCGGGTAAGTATAAAATCTAACTCTAGTCTAATTGTTGGGAAAGTGACCGGTAACAGGGAAGCAACAAAAAAATGGATGGCCCAATACAAGGATTTGGTGCTGGCCTTGCTAAAAGGATTCGAAAAATTCAAGATCTCCGAGATCCCCCCCGGACTGAGAACGCAGATGCAGATCTCCTCTCCAAACTTACACAGTCCTCCCCAGAGCATGTTTCAAAACTTGCCAGGGTAGAAATTTTGGAACGTGCTAGCATCGAAAAGCTGGAAATCTGGTCAATCGAAGCGGTAAGACACTCTTACCAGTCAAATTCAAGCACAGTTGGAGCAGACGATCATTGGATGCATGATCTTTTAAAGTACCTGGTGGATGGAAGCTTACCTGAGCAAGATAACTGGGTGCGCAAAGTGAAGCTCAGGGCACCCCAAATTCAAGTTATAGACGGAATGTTGTACAAAAGGCATTCGGCGGACCACTTCTGAGATGCCTAACCAATCGCGAAATAGAGCGGGTAATTGCCGAAGTCCATGAGGGGGAGTGCGCAGCTCATCTAATGTCTCGCACCCTATCCCAGCGCATCATAGTTTTGGGATACTACTGGCCAACAATCGTCCAGGATTGTGAGAGGTATGTTCAAAAAATGCAGAACATGCCAACAGAACAATTGTGGATGGTTTGAAGAAACGACTGGGAGAGGTAGGAAATAAATGGTTGGAAGAACTCCGTACTGCGTACCACCCAGGAAAGCTCATGGGGAAACACCGTTTTCTTTAATTTATGGGTGTGAAGCGAGATTGCCAATCGAAGCGGAATTCACAACATTTAGGGAAGCAAATTGCCAACCCCAGCAAAATGAAGAAGACCATTTAGTTGAACGCAACTTGGTTGAAGAATGAAGGATTGCCACGAAAGTGAAAATGAGCACATACCAACAAGTTGTAAAGAAATACCATGACTACAAAGTTGGACCACGATACTTCCAAGTTGGCGAAAAGGTCGTACGAAGAAGGGAAGCTAGCAAACCGGGTGATGGAGGAAAGCTTGCCAAAAATTGGGAAGGCCCATATTGGGTGAGTGCCATAGTTCGCCAAGGCATATACCGGTTGGAAACTCTAGAAGGTGGAACAGTAGAAAGATCTAGGAATTTCCATCATCTGTGAAAATTCTACAAATAATTGTAATACTAAGACAAGCCAAGTTCTGTTATCAAGCAATCGAATTGATGTGGTTCCATACTCTTCCCAGTAGTAGAAGAAGTTATAGGTCGAACCTAAGGAGGGTTTCCCAAGTGGATCGAATCCACTCGGATAAGCCAACTGAGACACAGGCCCGGACCTGGCACGCTGGTTACTACACCGGTCTTGCTCAGTATAATAAAAAAAATAAACCCGGAAGAGGGGCCCCAAATAAGGTTGCAGGAAGGCTGGACCTGGAAGAAGGTTTGAAACCGTACTTACACGGACTCATGAAGTTTGACCGGTATCAGGGAGTCAGCCGAAACCGTCAAACTGATTGGGAACTAAAAGATGCCCATTAAAGGAAATAGAAAAGGATCATTCACCGCAATGCATCATACTCCGACCGGGTCGGATTCATTCTTCTCAGGGAAGACTTGAACGGGGGGGTGAGCTAAGGCCTTTACCCCGGGATAGTAGAAGGGTGCATTTGAACCTTAGAGATTGTTGGAAGCCATTTGACATGGTTAAATCTCTAGCATTCTTACTGGTTAAGAATACTTCAAGGAATTACTAGGTTACAGGTGCTTCCACCTACAACTTACGGGTTAAACAAAAAAAGGAATACCCTGTAGGGTATTAATATCGAAGAACTTCGAAAGTTCTTGAAGGTGATTCGGTCAACTGGTTGGATGGGGTAAAAGAAGAACCACCAGTCAAACCAAATTGATCATCGGGAAGAAACTCAAAAGTACAAGTCCTAGACATACCCGGGTGGACAAAGCAGGAAGGGGTCTACCGATAAGTCAAAGTCAAACATCAAGGAGGAATTGGAAATACAGATTCCTACTAGGAGTGTTTGATCAGATCGAATTAAAGAAAAGGATCTAGAGGTAAAAATTCACATTCAAATCAAGATATCAAATACTCAAAGGTAGAAGATAATCGGTCAGTAAAGTAAACATGACATTGATATTAAAGAAAATGTTGAATGATTACAAATACTCCAGGCATTCTCGGGAAAATAGAAGTTTAAAGTTTTACAAACGATAACCAGGCGCAGCCGGGATTGCCTAGTGAAGGGGGAAGGGGGGAGCAGGTTCCTCCTCTAGGATGGGAGCCAGGCCATAAGATTTTGCGGAGAAGTCCGGATCCTGCTCAGCTAGAATAGCATGGGTGGCCTCCCGGTCTCTCTTCTGACTAGACATGAAGCCGCAAGATCCCACCAAGGTGATCATCTCCTTCCCATGTGGCTCCCGGTAGAGCAACTTGAATGCCTCCATTGTCTTCTCCGGAGTGGAGGTGAACACGTGGGCAGCTTCGTCGAGGTCCTCCTCCATCCATTAGTGAGCTCTACCAGGTAGCTCCCTGTCCTTCTCCTTGACCACCTCCTTCGGATGGGAGACCTCCCCCATCAGCTACGAGTTTTCCTCCTTCAGCTGGAGGATCTTCGCACTCGCCGCTCCAGCCATTCACGAGACGCCGGCCATCTCATTGACCTAGCAGGCCATCACCTCTTGGAGCTCCCGGTTGTGAGCTTCAACGTTCTTCAGATTCTCCTCCAACTGGGATGCTCGGGAGGGGGAACCTTTAGAGAACTGTTCTAGGGCATCCGCCCCACTTCACCAATCTGCAAATACGGAAGAAAAAAAGTTATGTTGGGTGCATGAACGATATAGAAAAGGAAACGTACCGGGAAAATCTTACCTCTTTTAGCCAAAGCCCAAGTTTGACCCAGAGCTCTTCCAGGGACTCCACCACCGGGACAATCTTTCCCATGTGCCTCTTTGCATTTGGGTGGGTGAGAGCTACCTTCTTCTCGAGAGTCTTCCCTTTCCCCTTGTTGGGAGGAGGATTCGCCCCCCCCCCCTCGATCTGAGGAGTTTCCTCCTCGTTGATGATCTCAACAGTTTCCTGTTGGACATGGACAGTCTTGGGGGAGTGGGGTTCTGACCGGTAGAGGAAGAGGCACCGATCTTCTTGGGGATTGAGAAAGATCTGAACTCTATATCTGCAAAGTCAAATAAAAATTGTAAGTATTGGAGGAAGGACCGATACAAATAATGGAGGAAAGAAAGGGAACACGAGATACTTGGGTGACTTTGGCCCTCAGCCTCTACAGTGTTGCCCGGGGAGGGTGTTGTATTTAGGTGCCCTAGCGGCAATCAAATACCTATGTAACTGTACACTTGATCATGAATGAAAGGCTTTGAAGTATGTTTTATATCTCGTGTAACATAACATAGCTTCAGTCCATAGACGATAGCGCTTCAGTAACATAGATGAGGACTACAATGTTCTGATTATGAGACTGTTACTTCTTGATGAACGCTATGTCTAAAATGTCCCTAGTCGCACTTTATGATAATACAGACATCATAACGTATCAAGACTAGTACGTACGAGATGAGATAGTTGCGTCTCATAGACTATAGGTATTGTGATATCTTAATCTGTACGTAGGTGCATATTATATCGATAATATGTGACTGGATTGACCCATCTTGAGAATACTGCATGGATCTACAGTAATGTGTTTATTAGATTAAGATATCACAATACCTATATGTAAATTTTATTGGTTGTTTTAAATATACTCCATGGATCTACATATATTCCATGGATCTACATATATTCGGCCAAATATACTCCGACCAACAGTATATTTGGCACTACATATAATCCCCAACCAACACAACAAGAGAGAGAATGCCATGTCACAATACCTACAGTAATGTGTTTATCAGATTATTACATATAATGATGTCAATGCCATGGAGTATACTGCATTGACATCATTATATGTAATTTGTCTTGTTGTGTTGGTTGGGACATTACATTAATCCTAATTTGTTTTGTCCCTAAGCTATTTCCTAGAAATTCATTTAAGTTGTTTATTATAAAATGAAATACAATCCCTCCCCATTTTTATATATATCATTCGGCCATAGAGAGAGAAAGGAAGAAAAATATTATTTTGTGTTCCAAGTTATTTTTCTAAAGTGTTAGAAATATACACAAAATATTATAAAGAAATATTTATAAGATAAATATTTTTACGATATATTTATTACTCCCAAAAGTAGTATTATTATAGTTTTTACTATCCTATATTAAACTTGCTAGCACAAGTTTAATCTAGGACTCCGGAGCAAGTTCGTGTGGATACGTTGGAGGCTTCATACGTTTGGCGCTACGTTCATCTCCTCAAAACCATCCCCGACCGTTTCTCCGTTCTCCGTTTTTCACCGTTAAGGTAAATTTCTTACTATAGCTAGTAATTTACGTAAGTTGTTCTTGGGTGGAATCGAGTTTTGGGCTCTAAATTTTTGTTATCCGCTGCGTTATCCAAGCCTCGTTTCCCAACAGAGGGTACCCCGTACCCCACTGCTTCATGGGTTGGGAGGTACTCTCACCACCCGGTTGAACTCTCTAGACCCAGCTTCCATAATGGTAGTGTTGCCCGGTAAACGGGTCCCCTTGATGAAGCCTCTCCAAACTTTCTTCCAAGTCTGGAGCGGTGGGTGGCTCGGTATACTCTTGCTTGAGAAGGTGATAATTCCATTTTAATCTGGGCAGGGGAGAAGCAGTGGGGGGAAATTTTATAAAAACAAATTTTTCCTTCCACGACCGATTGCTTTATGGAAGGTCGGAAATAAACTTTCTACCATCCCGCCCCTTAAAGTAAACAAAACCGTCGCAACCTGGTCGCCCAGGAAGAACTTTAAACATATAACGAAAAAGACGAAGGGAATGATCAATACGGAGGTGGGTGCATATATTTACAAAGGCGTTTAGGAGACGGTGAGCGTAGGGTGTGATCGGCTCGGGAAAAATCTTGAAGGAGTGGCACACCTCAACCAGAAGGGGGCGGAGAGGAAAAAGGATACCACCCTCTAAAGAAGTAATGTGGAAACCTATCCTATTCTCCTGGTGAGGCTCAACTATGTTGGGCCAATTATCGTCGTATTTGAGAACGTAGCCCTCCAGGAGATTCCTACGGGCTTTGTTTAGAGCAATTTTAGATACGTGGGGGTAAAGGTTTAAGACATAGAAGGTGGGGAGGGGAGAATAACCTGCAACTTCCAGCCTCTCCTCCCACTCCATCCAGGTCTCGTTTTATGGGTAATAGGGACCCGGTTCATCATCGACCGGTTCATCCCTATCCCCAAAAACCTGACCGCGTACCTGATTAACCGGCTCCGGTTCTGGGACAGAAGTTTGTGGAGCCGGTCTGGGTTTGAAGTTTGAAGAATAGTACTCGGTCGAGGAATAGGACGTGGCAGAATCCTCAGATACATAAGCATCCATGGAAGAAATGTTTTGACTGTTAGGAGACGACATGACGAGGAAAGGTATTGGAGAAGAGAAGGGAAAAGCTTACTTGACTTAAAGGGATGGGAAGCTAAAGCTGGGAACTTGACCGGTAAAGCTCAAGAGGACGTGCGCGAAAAAGTGGAGGAAATGAGAGGCTGAAAGCCTTTATATAGGCGAGGGAAAATATGAAAAATAGAAAAATGGGCGATGTGGCGCGTTGTGGATGCACCGCGTCAGGCGGCGCCATCATTTCGCTTGGGAAGGCGAAAGGGCGCAATGATAGCCTTGTCCATCGAATGACACTTGTCAAAACCAAAACTTTTCAAATTCAAATTTCGAATTTCGGGTTCATTTTCCAGATTTTTATTTCCGGCCCATGATATTTTACATGGCCGAGAAGTGGAGGGCTTATTGATGGGTGTATTCCACCCAGAATCGGTCAAGGAATACGCTTAAATATCCAACCGGTCAAGGTTGATTTTTCGGAATGGGAGACCTAAATCGTTAGTAAAAGGATGCTTGGTTGAGCAAAAAATTGACCGGTACACTTCAGATAGTCTACCGGTCATATTATTTTATCCCCTTGTTCATCTCCAAATTTCAATAAACCCATCCCTCACCAACCACCCGGTATGGTTTCTAGGATTGGGAAGTGTCAGCAAATAAGAGTCCAAATGAGCTTGGACTGTAGCGACCATGTTCAACAGAGAATCATTGGAGATACTTGAGTAATCCGTCCAGGATACTACACGACTAGGGCTGTTCATCGATCTAGAACCGAACCAGACCGAACCGGATCGGACCGAAGACCGAAATAAGAATAAAGTAAGACCGAAGACCGGACCTATTAATAATCGGTTTTAGACCGAACCGATCAAGACCGAAAAGACCAGAGTAATAGTGCAAAGAAGAAAAAAGTTAGAGCAGAAACGTAGGGGGGGGGAGTACAATAAACTGGAAGAGATGTTTTGCAGGTCATAAAAAATAGGAATCAAATGAGCACCACAAAACAAATGGACTATATTACATTCACATGGATGTTAAAAGCTAAAACTTCAATACTAAATTACTAATTGAAATTCTCAAAAATACGGAGTATCAAATATCCATCAAGAACAAATTAAGGAAGAATCTGAATATTAATTAAGACTTGAAGATTACCAAATAAATACCATTACACAAAAGATTTTCGTGTTTTGGCACTGAAAAATACTTCCAAAAACGAGATCCGAGGGCTAGGGTTCAAGATTTAGTGTCGGCACCACCTCCATCATCCTCGAAGTCTCCTTTCTCTCGCTCCTTGGGCCTGTTTGCATCACATAAGAGCTCTTCCCCTTCCGATTTGATTCTCTCGCGTTGAAGAAGAACGAGAAGAGGAGAATGAATGGATAACAAATGAATGGCTGAGGTGAGGCCTGAGGGTGAGTTCGCAACTTGAATAGATAATTGACACGGAGTGACTGACATAAGTAGTCAGTCCATTAAGTCCAGATCGAAATAATATCGGTTTTGGACCCGACCGGGCCCGACCGGACCGAAACCCAAAAACTCAAATAATTAAGACCGAAGACCGACCCTAAATATATTCGGTCCGGGTTTGGTCCGGACCTAACGGTCCGGTTTGGTTGGGTTTTTTGGTCTGGACCTAAACATGAACAGCCCTATACACGACAAGGAAGCCACCTTCTTCACTAGATGACAAGGTCAGTAGAGGACGAAGACAATCACCTCACGCCACCCAAGAACGTGCCCTGACGTGGATGTGCGGCGCCTTGTCTCCTTTAGCTACTATAAATATCTGTGTAATCCTCAAAGGAAGGGATCAAATTTCTTCTCACTAAAACTTTCGTCTAAAAGCTCTCGTGCACTCTACTATATTCGAAATATTAATTGGCTACAGGTGTTTTCACCTATAGTCCTCCTGGTTACTTTGTGTGTTTTTACCTTTACTTTCTCGAATCTAGTAAAGAATCCTAGACCAGGTCTAGTACTGTTTACTTGGTAAGGTAATTTACATCATCAACCTACAGGTAAGCTGGTGAAAAAATGTAAAAAAGTATATATTTTAAATGTTGATCTTGGAATCATGTAAGCATAATTTTTTTAAATTTGGATTAAATATATTTTTATATTTGTAATATTTGGGAGAAAAATTATCTATCTAAAAAATAAATTAATGAGACCATCTCTGTAAAAAAAATGTTTTTATAACTACGTCTCCCACCGATCTAAGCCCAAGTATGATACTTTACAGTGAAATTTGTATACGATACCTCTAAAAATCTTTTGAGTAATTCATTCCTAGTTTTAAAATACTAAACATGTAATTAACTTATTGAAACTATAATTAAGCCTAAAATTGTAATTGAGTGAAATATGAACACTAAAAGAAATTGCAAAAAAACCAACATTCAAAAATAAATTAAGCGAAAATTATAAGAAGGCAGAGTAACCCCAATACCAAATACAAAGAACGTTTGACATTTCACTAAGTGGACTTGACGGAATTGCAACAGTAATTTCTGTTGCAATTTTTGTATTATTATGTTGTTGATGATGATTGCAACAGTTTTCCGTTGCACATTTCCCGTTGCAAAAACCATTGTTGCAAATTCATTTCTACAAAGGATTTTCCGTTGCTGAGCATTGCATCGAAAATTTGCAACAGAAATTGCCCAATACATCTCCCCAATTATATAAAAATCAGAATCGTGTGCCTAATACATCTACCTTCATACCAACGTTTGAATTGTCAATCCTCTACCTCTTGTCAACCTTAAGGGATTGATGAATAATTATGACCCTTCACAACCTGAAGACATTATAGAGGGTAAGGTTGTAAGGACATAAAACTTATGAGCTCCAAGAATTCTATTTTCAAACGAGCCAAGAGAATCTGCAAACAAAATATGGTTAACCATCGCACGTGAAACCATCTAAAATTCGTTGAAGAAGGAGAATAGAACACATTCGGTCCGAATACTCTAGGTCAAATAAAAGAATGTTAAACAAATATTTTCTTCGACCTAAGATAATCTTTCCAGTTATTATTACGTCCTTTCGGTAACTTCTATTCTTCTTTATTTTCCGATATAAGAACTCCAACAAAAATCATGCGCCAGTGCATGAAGTGGAACCCCGTTCCGAAGCTTCAAGTTTAGAAACATTCCAAAACGGATTCTTTCACTGGTGTCGGTTCAGGCCTGTCATCGTCAAGATTGCCCATTAGCTTGAACAACTCCGATGAGGACAAATAAGAAACATTCTCCATGCACCCCACATCGAATCTCCCTTGCCCACTGAAAACCAAGTCGGCCGCCCAGTTGAAACAATAAGGGAAATAACTTAGCAACCTCTACCGTACCTGGGGAGTAGAAACAAGATTTAGCAGAGATAACTACTTACATGATATAGTTAGTTGATCTCCATCAGTAGAAATAGTACAACAACATACGGTTGCTGTGGATGCCAACAGATCTCCTAACCGGGCATACATGGGAGATTGTCGGTAAAGAGAATGAAGATCTTACAAAAATATAGGGAGTGTAGTTTTTTTATCCGCAATCTACTTTTTAATGATTATTTTATTTTAATTTATTTTTCCATTTGAATATTTCTTAAACAATGTACTGTTGTTTTAATATTTTATTTACATTTTAAAAAAACAAATTATCATTTGTTATAAACAAATGATAATAAACAACAATGGGGTGATGAGTATATGAAAGGTAACCATGCAAGGATAGGTAGCGGAATATAAATTTTTTAACATCCTAACATGATTATTTTTCCCAGAATCAATCACGTACTTACTAAAACTTATAGTAAGTAAGATATTTATACCTTTCTCCAGAAGCAGTAAAAACGATGAAGTCGTAAAAGAGCGTTGAAAATGCAAACGTAACCGTTCAAGCGTCTGGTCTCTAACTTTGACACACGATCAACGCTGGAGTCTACTACAATCCTTATGTTGGTAAAGATTATAGTAGTATAAAATATAAAGATTAAAATTTGGGATAATAATAATCTTGTATATTTCTATAGAAAATACTTCTAATAATGTTTAAAAAATATTATAGATATTTTCTATACACAAAATGATATTAATGAAACACCAAAATAGCATTTCTCTCTCTCTCTTAAAATCTTGGCCGAAATCCCCTTTACACACAAAAATGAATGTGGTGTGTGATTATATGTATAGAAATAAGAGAAATCATTATCATTTTGTCATTAGCAGTAACGCCTTGAAAACTGGTCTAGAAGTTAATCGATAATTAAATAAATAAGAATTATTTATTTACGACAATTTATTCTTTTAAAGAATTAAAAGATACTTTGGAGATTCTAATCGTCTTAATATAATGAGACTAATCTGATTATATTTGTAAAGATTTAAAGTAAAAGACTAATCCGTATTAATTGATCGAAAGAATTAAGATGGACCTAGTGAAACCTGTAAATAATGGTTGAATGACTATAAAAGTTATATTGTTGGATAAGGATCGACGAATTGAACCCAACACCACAAACAAATCTCAATTCGGAGAAAGTTGCCCCGAAAAGTATGTTTTTACTCAGACACGTTATTTTAAAAACACGGAGCACAAAACCCTAGGCATATATGTGCCATATTTACGCTTTACGCGTCTCCTTCGATCAGAATTGCCGCCAACCCCTTTTCTTCTTCGTTCGTTCTTAGATCGGAAACCAGGGACACCAACGCCGGCCGTGGCATAGCACCGTTATTGCCGACGACAATCCTTGAGGTCAACAGCAATCTAGCGATTGGCTTCTCCGGTGACGACCTAAGTTACAACCCCAGTGAGGAACCAGCGACAAACATCCGGACAACAACTTCACCTTCTCTGGCGAACAACGAGGGAACACTCGGCAAACCAGCAAGCCCCGATGATGATCTTTGTCCAGGCAAAACAGTTGCTAGGTCCAAGTGGCAGCTCCGGCGATCCCCTCGGATCTCCATCGACTTACAGCAGCACCGATGTTTAGCAAAGTGCTGACCAGCCATCGATAACAGTTTCCAGCTAAATCTAGCGACTCGGTGACTTTCTCCTGACGACGAGTGCAATCCGGCAGCCGGGTGAGACAACAATGAAATACGGTGATCTACAGTGTTGTCGGGTTTGGTCAGACCCCGGGCAGAAACTACTAGTTAGGAAGCTGAGGGCACTCCCGGTGATTCAGGAAACGACGATTAGTTTCAGGCTAGTCTGGATAGCGGATGTTGGGTAGCAGGCACGACCTTCGCCGAGGCTCAATCTGCAATGTTTTTCATTCAATTGAATTAAAACGGATCGAGGTGAGTACGTGGATATCGAGCACTAGAATATGCATCTAGGTTTGAAATTCCATTCATAATTATTATTGTGGTTGATCTATGTGATTTATGTGTTTAATTGTTGGTTATGATTTTGGGACATGTTATCGTTGAATAAAAAAGAGTAGTATGCTTGATTTAGGTGTTAATTGGCGAGTTGATGTGCTTGATAATGTTTAGAACGTTAATATGAACCTTATTAGTGTTTGTTTTTATGAGATTGATGTTGGTTTGATGCTGAAAAGCAAAACAAGTACGAAGCTTGAATTTGTTGTGTCGGACGGTAGGTTGTACCACCAGGATCGTACCGTGCTACCGTAACACTGTGTTTGTCCTTTTGCCTCTGCCGGTAGCTGCGACCGTACGGTACGTAGTGTCACGGACTTGGTCGTAATTCCAACGAACCGTGCGGCCTAGCAAACTTCTTCGCTAAGTTGCTAGTCAGCCTACTCTCAGACTTAGCGGAATATCGAGATGCTAAGTATGAAGGAACTCGGACTCAAAGAAAGAACTGTGTATTACTTTCTCTCTCTAAAGCTTACAATGCTTCTTGAACTCGATAAGGGATTCGGCAATGGAAATGGCAGTGGTTAAGTCTTGAGCCCCACGTCTCTGAAGCTCAAGTCTAGCCCATTGCTGCAACCCATCCATAAAGGCAAAGAAAGCTTCTTTATTAGGGTAGTCTGGGATTTCAAGAAGTACCTCGGTGAACTCCTTCACATATTCTCGTATGCTTCCTTTATGTTGAAGTCGCCTTAACTTTCCCCGGGCCTCTTCTTCTACGTTACTAGGGTAGAACTGTTTCTTGAGTTCACTCTTGAACTCGGCCCAAGTGTCTATGGTGCACGTCCCTTTCTCCATATCTCCTTGTCTCCTTCTCCACCACACCATGGCGGTGTCCTCAAGAAAAAGACTTGCCATATCCACTTTCCGTTTCTCTTCGGAAATGGCAAGAGCTCGGAAATATTTTTCCATGCTCCATAAAAAGTTATCAAGTTCCTTCGCATTCCTTGACCCTTTGTAGGATTTGGGTCGTGGAATATCTAACTTGGAGGGTGGAGTCCTTACCTCGGATGTCGATGGACTACCTTGTGCAAGAGCCTTCTTGCACAGCACGAGCTCCTCCTCGGCGCTCTCTAACTTGCGCGAGACTTTCTCGAGCTCTACTTGTATCGAAGAAACCTCGACCTTATGAAACTCCTCCATGGCCTTAATTCGTTCAAGACATTGAGCGAGGACTTTGTTCATGGCGGCTTGCATCTCCTCACGGAACTCATCCATGCCTTGCCCCATCTCCTCGAACTTTTCCTCCCCATCGGCGATAGCAAGTTCCACCCTTGCTAGCCTTGTCTCGAAACCGTCCATGGTCTCCCTCGAGCGAGATCTCTGGGTCTTGGTCTTCTTCTCGCCTCCCTTGGTCACGTTGGTAGTCTCACTTCCACCTTCCATCTTCCGTCAAACTAGGCTCTGATACCAACTGTCACGGACTTGGTCGTAATTCCAACGAACCGTGCGGCCTAGCGAACTTCTTCGCTAAGTTGCTAGTCAGCCTACTCTCAGTCTTAGCGGAATATCGAGATGCTAAGTATGAAGGAACTCGGACTCAAAGAAAGAACTGTGTATTACTTTCTCTCTCTAAAGCTTACAATGCTTCTCACTTCTTGAGTGAGTGAAATGAATGAGGGGGAGGGGTATTTATACTTCTCCACCTCTCCAATGGACGGCTAAGATCTATTTGATCTAACGGTTACAATCGAGTATCTAGAATACTCTACACAAATATCTAAGATATTTACAAGGCTACATGATATCTCTACACTACTCCATAATGTTCCAGAACCTTCCAAGCATCTCTAGCAAGTCCCCCATCTTTCTAGAGAATTCCTTAGTCCTCTAGACTATGGCAGATATCTCCGGATAGTTCTTCGGACGGATCTGGACATCTTCTAACGGATTGGATTGGGTCTGGGTTTCGAGCCTCTGCCGATTTTTAGGCAAACTTGAACGGTGCGTCACAGTAGGTACCGGACGGCCTGTAGGCCCTACCACTCGGATGGTAGACGGCTACCGTGGCAATCCTACCTTATGTGTGCATGACGCTAAGTTTGGGTGACAGCACCCAAGACTAGGCCGCTACGTGTTATGATTGTGACTGCTCAGTGTTGATCCAACACTTATGTGAACTGATATTGTTATGGTGATCCAACCTTGAATCCAATAATAAGAGCGGGCTAATCCAACACGCAAAGCACGGGTTACAAGGGTGTTGATCTAACCCCATGAGCACAGGTTAGTCTGCCTAGAAGAACTCTAGGACATACTAAAGTACTAGTATTAGGAAAGTAAGAGTATAAACCAGGTGGATTCTTGCTGGGCTCCAATGGTTAATTGTTAGAAAAACGTCCCAACGCTAGAGGGGGGTGAATAGCATTTGAAATGAAAAATGACGCAGGAATAAAAATTAAAAACGTAAAGTAAAGAGCAAGGAAGAGGCACACCGTTTTTACCCTGGTTCACCACAACTTGTGGCTAGTCCAGCCTCCCGAGAGACTCTCTCGAGCTACACTAACAACGTTAAGCTTAACGCTGCTTAACAAACCCGTACAACTTGAGAGTTCGAGTCACACGAACCTCAACGAACCTTCGAAGGAAACAACCCTTCCTTCGAACAACAAGAGAAATATTTTCTCTTGTCAAGTGTCTAAGAACACTAAATCACTCAAGAAATAAACTCCTTTTAGAGTGGATAATGAGTAACTAAGAACGCTCAAGAACACAACACAAACTTCACAAAAATGGCTCTCGAAAAGCTATGAATAATATATGAATTGTATGCAATGAAAGAATAATAGTTGTGAAGTAATATGATGTATAAAGCAGACCCAAACACCCCATTTTATAGTGGGAAAATAGGCTCCAACGGATCAAAACATTTAATGGGTGATTGGCACAATTTGTGGGATTTGATTAAAATTGGATCTCCTGAAAATCCTCTAGACAGCGCTGTCCTAGGCTTGGACATCGCTGTTCTAGGTTTGGGTTTTGAAAAATAGGAACCAACGGTCATGCCAACAGCGATGTCCAATACCCCTACATCGCTGTTTTGACTTCCAAACAAGGAAATTTTTAGCCATAAATTCCTCCCAACAGTCAAGTGCCTACATCGATGTTCATGACTTGAACATCGCTGTTCAGGCCTGACTTTGAAGGGGAAGGAGTTGGCCTGACAGTGCTAATGCTGGGTCAACATCGCTGTCCAAAATCTTTCTGCCAAAGGCATTTCGTTTTGGCTTAGGTTGGACAGCGATGTAGGGTAGTCTACATCGTTGTTCTAGATGTTTCTGGAAACCCTACCTTGGCTCAACAGCGATGTCCAAACACCAACATCGCTGTTGGAAGACTTAGCGCCAAACCATGGTTTTCAGCTACCCATGCCAGACAGCGCTGTTGGTTACATCAACATCGCTGTTGGGCTGGTTTAGTCAGACCCATGGTTGGTTTAGTCATGCCGTTAGCCGATCTCAAAAATGTAAGTTCTCCAAAATAAAAACCAAGTATTGAAAACATTTGTTTAGTGCATTTTGCTAAGAAATCGAGTAAAACATCTTGAAAACCATGTCATTTAGTTGAAAACCACGGCTAGCCAAGTTTACGCCGTTTCGCATGGTTTTCCCTAAACGACCAAAAACGAAAGGTGGTTTTTGACGCGTTTTTGTTGGAGAACTATTTAAATGTGCCTAGAAGAAAAAAGCAATCATAAAAAGTTGAAAACCACTTGGTTGGTTTGGACGACAAAAACCAACACCGATAACCGAAAGCTGAATGCCGGTTTCTGAAACCCGAACGCCGGATGATTGGTTTTTGGTTTGGGCGAACTCCAAGTGTTTTTAGGCATATTTAAAACTTATGAAAAACATTTTTGAATATGAAAAAAGTATTTTGATGAAATGAGCCTAGAGAGCCAAGTTTTGAAAGTTTGTGCCAGTCTTGATCACATTAAGACCGACTCAATTAAATTCTAAGTCTTCGTTCTTGGTTCTTGGTTCTTGGTTCTCGAATCATAATGCTATGTTCCTTCGCCTTTGATTTGCTCAGTTTAGTGTTTGTTGTCACGGCGGTTTGGCATTATCAAAACCTGTCATAAAATGAACACGGTTTAGTACGACGTAGGCGTAAACCCGTGTTCCAACAATTTCCCCCTTTTTGATAATGGCAAACAAGACGGAGATATGCATACTAAGGGATATTTGGTTTTCAAAAACTTGTGAAAAGTTCCCCCTTAATTTGTGCTTAAAAGCAAGTAGTCAGATTTAAAATCAAACGATCTCGTTTTTAGAGACGTTCCCCCTTAGTATATGCATAGCCCTTTTCTTCCCCCTTTTAACATTAACAAAAAGATAAAAGATAACTTTTATTTATTGAAATGGGAAATGGCGGAGAACAACGGAAGCATTAAAAAAACATGATAAGTAAATGAAAAGAGATAGAAATTCTAGGGGCGTCCTAGTCTTTGTCTTCGGTTTCATCCTCATCGTCGTCAACATCCATCTCATCACCGTCAATGGCGTCGTCGAACTCATCCTCATCCGGGGAGCTTGACGAGGCGTAGGAGGCATCATCTTCGTCCTCATCAGCGTACACTTGCCCAAAGAACGTGCCATGGTACGGTGGGGGGACGTAGTTAACGCGTTGGTAGTAAGCGTTCATGGCGTGCCCTTGGCGTTGAACAGCCTCGTCAAGCCGTTCAATGTATCCATCCATCCCGCCGACTTTGAAGTGCAGCCGGTTGAGGGAGTTGGCGATGGAAGCAAGGTTTGATAGGTAACCATGCAAGGATAGGCAGCGGAATATAAAAATTTTAACATCCTAACATGATTATCTTGCCCAGAATCACGTACTAAAACTTATAGTGAGTAAGAAATCTATACCTTTCTCCGTAATCAGTAAAAACGAAGAAGTCGTAGGAAGAGCGTTGAAAGTGCAAACGTAACCGTTCAAGCGTCCGGTCTCCAACTTTGACACACGAACAACGCCGGAGTCTACCACAATCTTTATGCTAGTAAAGATTATAGTAGTATAACATATAAAAATTAAAATTTGGGATAATAATAATCTTATATATTTTTATAGGAAATATTTCCAATAATATTTAGAAAATATTATAGATATTTTCTATACACAAAATGATATTAATGGAACACAAAATAATATTTTCTCTCTCTTGAAATGGTATGGCCGAGAGTTTTTCTAACACAAATCAATGTGGTGTGTGTATGATTATATGTATGGAATTAAGAGAAATCATTATCATTTTGTCATTAGCTAAAAGACAAAAATGATTAGCCCACTAAAATCAATCAAGGAAATGTAGAAATCAATTTGATGATTTCAAATCTTCCCTTAGCCGTAAGTATTGATTGTGAGAAGGATTTGTGAAATTCTTCTTCACTTAAATGTTCAAAGTGTATTTTATTTGACACCAAAAATTAATATAAAATTAATTTTAAATCAAATAAAAATACCCATATCATTTTTAAACAAGTATACAAATATACTTTAAATAGTTTATGTCAAAATAATTATTTTCATAATTAAAATGTCAAACCAAAATAAAACATTCAACATATAATATATGTATATATATATATATATATTATATATATATATATATATATATATATATATATATTAATCGGCACACATATATATAATATATATAACCGAATATTTATATATATAATATTACATTCCAAAATATTTTATTTTACTATTTTTACAAATATACAAATTACTTATTATCCCATTGTTTAATCCTACTCCTTAAATTGTCCAAAGTGTGTGACCCGTATAGGCACTTATAAAGCAAGCCATAGTATTGGCTCTGCACCAATACTATAAACAATAAGCGATATCTAGCAACACATTATTGTCCCCAGATTATAAGTTAAGACGTTTGCACTGATAAAACCTTTCCACGACTCACACTCTGTGTAACTGTATCCCTTTGTCTCAATGTCTAAACTTAACGCAAGGGATTAATAAAATCCAACTTGTATCCATTAAGTCATTCACTGATTTATCAAGTCTGACTGATAGGAACAGACGTCATAAAAACATCTCAGCATGGCCATGCAATATCCTCAGTCATAACTTATCAGTGGGCCCATAAGACATTAATCTCTTTAAAAAGAGTAGTGACAAATCCTATGTACGTAATCTACATTTCTGAATACGCGCTGCGGCATACCCAAAACAAAGCCTGTATACCATCCTTATTTCATATGGCTTAGGACAATGCATCAAAGTATGCGGGTTCACATATGCAGAAAACGTAATACTTCAAGTCGAAGGATAGTTACACCCGTGGTCGCGCTAAATATGCTTAGAGCATGAACTAAAAGTTCAAGCAATATCTTTAGGATGGGTCAGTCCGGCATCCTATTATCTCCAGATAATATCTGCCCATGTGCGGATGCGAACACACTTTCATTGACTATGAGACTAAGTCAAACATCCAACACACACTAGTCTCACATGCATTAACGATATCCCACTCTCGTTAATACTCGACTATGGACATTTAGATAAATATTTATTTCAAGATGTCAGTCTAATCAGCAGAATAACACTATTTGATAAACATCTTTAAATATAAATCTAGATTATAATATTTGTTTACATTAGCATGAGATGTATAAACATATTATATCTGCCTATACACGATAGAATAATGATAAACAGTTGGCCATCAGGGCACAACTCCAACAAGGTTAGCCCGGGCCTGGGGTTCGGTTGGGCCAGCGGCAGTGGTAGTGCGGCGTGGCGCGGCAGTGGCAGGTGCGGCGTTGTCCGACCGCTTGGTGAAGGTTTGAGCGCTGATCGACCAAAGTTTCGTGGCCTTTGTGAGCAGGCCAACAGTGGTGGTTACCTTGAACCGTTCAAGGATGTAGTCCATCACCACGAACGAGTACGGGAGGAGGTGATCGTGACAAACTTTGCCCAATCGATCGGGGACGTGTGCATGATCGCATGTATGAGCTTGAGGTCCTCACCGGACATGTTCGTGTGCCCATGCTTCTGGGGTTTGATAATCTGAGACACGATGTAGAGGAGGAGACGACCTTCGGGGTTCGCGGAGTGGATGGTGGGGCGGCCCGAGGCATGCCGGATGAGCTCGGTGATGCCAAGCTCGTTGAGGATAAGGCCCTCGTTGTTGAGCACCCAGTCTTCTCCGCCATAGTGGGAGACGTCGTCGCCTTGGTAGGGGAGGCCGGTGATCCGCCCAAGCTGCTCAACGGTGAGCTCAATCGGCGTGCTCTTGACAAGAGAGTAGAGCACGTCGTCCTCATGCCGGAGGTTGGAGTAGAAGGCCTGAATCAGCGCCGGATTGATCTCCTTTCGATCCCGGGAGACAAATGGCCATATACCAGTTTGATGAAGTAGTGCGTCGAGGTCGTCGTAGCCCTGCAACACCGGTAGGTGCTCCGGGACAATCCGCGGTGGAGCCACAACCCGTTTAGAGAAGAAGGTGAGAAAACGGGTGCGCTCCTCCTCGGAATCGAACCAGAGGTACGACCCGTCGTCGTAGTAGAGGCATTCTTCGGGGGTCGTAGATGGAGCCCGGGATTTGGACTTGGATTTCCCGGAGGTGGCAGCCCTGCTCTTGTCTTTACCCATGGTGATGAAGAAATCTCAAAAAAAATGTAGAGAAGGTGAAATATGCAAGAAGATTTAAAAAGATTATGTTTAGATGTGTAAAAGTGAAGAAATGAGTCTAAAATATATAGGGAGATGGGTTCCCAACGTTTAGAAATTTCAAAAATATGGCTGTTGGAGCAATTAATGCAGTTGCCAACGGATTTTTTTTTGAAAAATTTAACCAGAACAGCGATCTTCCAAAAGTTACATCGTTGTTGGGACAGCGTTGTTGTGCCACTGTACAGCGTTGTACTGCGTTAAGTTTTTAAAAAAGTGTCAAAAGGAGAGCGATGTTCCAAAGTATTCTGGAATTGTTTAAGGGTTTGAACCCATTACAACATCGTTGTTGAGTGTCTCTTCGTCGCTGGTCTACGATTGGAAAAAAAATTTGTAAAAACGGACAGCGCTGTTGCAATGGTGGACAGCGCTGTTGGTAAACTTTTTAGCGATGCTTGAAAACAAGGTGTTTAGAAAAACAGCGATGTTAAAAAAATGTACAGCGCTGGTGGAAAAGTTTCTGGAAAGCATAAAGTAGGAAGGCTCCCTGTGACAGCGCTTGTTGGGAAAAATATTATAGATTTTGATGATGATGTATTTAGAATGTATTAGGGATTTTAGGTCTCCCCCAATGTTCAATGTAATTTCTCTTTTTAGAAATACTGTCAAAACCGAGCTCTTGAGATTTCCAATAAAATGTGATTATCCTTTAAGCGTTTTGATGTCTGAAGACTTAATCAGATTCAGTGATATGGAAATTGGATATCTTGTTCGGAAATGTCAGAGACAAGTAAGGATTTCTCAATCAGATGTAAATCCTCAGATCCGGAAGACTACATAAGAACCGGAAGTCTCGCTACTACCCGCTTAGGCTATGTCGGAAGACTAGCGCGGATCTCTTTCTCACCCGGAAGACTCAGAATGACCTCTCCGGATCTGTCAGCTAAGAATCGGAAGACTCATTGAAGCCCGGAATTCTCAAAAAGCGGACAAGTGGGAAAAAGACTTAGAAAATTATCTAAGTCCTGAATGAAGAAATTCTACCCGTTGTTAAGGAAAAATCAATCTCTTGATTTTCAACGGCTAAATTGAAGATAATTATGCTGATTCAAGAACAAATAACTCGAA